AGTTAGATTGTTCGAAATATATTGCGCTAATATGTCGTTTAGCTTAGATAATCGTCTCCTTATTACATGAGGCAAATTTATCAGATACTAATTGCTTCGAATAGGCTTCGATATAGGTTAATGTCAAATACATTAAAACATATATATATATATATATATATTTCTAAGCCTTCTCTGTGTAACTTTGCCTCCTTTGTCATTTTCTCCTGAGGTGGTTATATTTTATTTGCTACTTTTCTTTAACATATTCGATCCAATACCAATAATAACAACAATAAACAAAAAAATTTTATGACCTTCAAAAAATAAAAATAATTTTTTTTATTGTTCAAAACAAAATTTAATGATATAAAAGGGCTGAATTTCAAAATTATAACTTAATGTTGTTGTTGTTGTTTTGTTGTTTGTTTGTTTTGTTTTGTTTTCTAATTTATTTGAGTGTCATATGCATTCATAGTTATTACATGTTTATTAAGAGATGAAACGCTATAGGTAATTAAAATTTGATTGAACTCTACATGACTTATTCTTGCATGAAATTAAAATAAATTTGAAGGAACTTTGGAAAATTACTACTTAATAATGTCTACATTTCCGTTAGGAAGATATAAACTAGTTAAAATCATCAGTCAATTGAAGTCAGACCACCATGGAAAACCTGGAAGCACTGGACGGCCGTTTCGTCTTAGTATGGGACACATTAACAGTGACTGACTTCAAGAGATACTACTAGAGTTCTAGTGAGAAGTCGTTACCAGTGGAGTTCAACTAAGTCTGTTGTGAGATATCGACTCACTGAAGACAATGATGTATGGTGGCGCAACTTTGTGGATTGGTTGAAGTTAGAAATTAACACCGTTGGATGCCGGTCAGCTCAGTGGTCTGATTGGTTAGGCGCCTGGCACGAGACTGATAGGTTCTGGGTTCGAATCTCGTGGGGTGTGGGATCGTGGATGTGCACTGCTGAGGAGTCCCGTACTAGGATAAAACGGCCTTCCGGTGCTTCCAGGTTTTCCATGATGGTCTAGCTTCAATTGACTCATGATTTAAACCAGTGAAATTTCTTAAACCTCCACAAAACCCATTCAGATATAAACTAATAAAGTGATTAGCAAGCGAAAACAGTTTCGTTTATACTTAATAGGAAAAATTTTAACATTTTATATTTTAGCAAGTTAAAATATGTAGTTAGAGTAAAAGAAATACTGAATAACTATATAAAGCTTTGGCGATATACAGTGCATTGTAGTATTGTTTTATAAGTGTGCTTTACTTTAGTATTTAAGAGTAATCTCAAATATTTTGTATTGATTTTTTCAAGAATCTTTTTATGCAGCTAATACGTGAATGGAAATATCTCCTATTAATACTTAAAATTCATTGTTGATTGTATAATATTCCAAGTATATAATTGAAACATGAAACAAGGATATACCATGACCGGAAGTAATAATTTCTGTAAAATGTGACTAAGTGATAACTTAAAACACAAAGCTTCGTTCATCATCATCTTCAGTGACATATACACAATATTATTTTTATCGTCTTAATTGTTTTTATTAAAGCATAAATTCACATGTGGTACGCATTCAAAAGTGTCAATATTTCTCAACTATTGACTTGCCTACATTCAATAAAAAGGAAAAAGGAATAGTGCACAATAGAATCGATATATGTAAAGGTTTTCTTGAGAAAATGAGTAGTTATACAAGTCTATTTATAATTATGTATTTCTGATAGTTCTAATATTAAAACGTATTTGTAACAAAAAACTTATCTGTTACTATGAAATGCTAACAATTTTTTTCGCTTATATTATGCTTAATAATTGGTAGTTGAGTTGAGTACATTTGACTGAATAATATCATTTAATAACTTAAAAATACATAAAAGGTGTTTATAATGATGACAAATGATTTCAGTCTATCCAATGACCAAACATTTAAAAATTTATTTATTATTATTATTATTTGAACACATAAATATTGGTACAAGAGAGCGCCAATATATATGCGCCACACAAAATAATGAGAATTCGAAGAGAAATAGAAAAAAAAAGAAAACATTAATGAAGAGATTGGTGTAAGGTAGTGTGGTAGTAATGAGGGAACGCAAAGGTACAATCGGAAGAAATCTTTCAGGTAAAGGAGACACAACCACTTTTTATGAAGAAAGTAAAAGAAGATTACAGCAGGATCGCCACTGGCTTTTATTCTGTGCCATATCTGATAACGTCTCTAGCCACTGTGTTGCACCATCTCTCAGACCCCAACCAGGGAGTCGTGAAGGACCGACACAAGCCAGTCCTTTGCAGCTTTCTTTCATACCACGACACCATGTCATGCACTGACCACCTCTCCGCTTCTTCCAACCAGTCCCAGAATGGAATTCTCTGGGACGACATTCGTAGAACATGTCCAAGCCACCGAAGTCGATGTTTCAAGATGGTGACACCAATTGAATTATCATCTCTGTGCCCGAACACACGATGCCGAACCTCTGCATTACTGACATGGTGTTGCCACTGATTGTCAGCAATCCTTCGGAAACAGCGATGATCGAACACAGAGAGTCGTCTAACATCCTCAACTAGGAGAGGCCAGGTTTCACAAACATAGAGCAAAACTGCTGTCACCAACGCGTTGTAGATCCGACCTTTTACAGCCAGACTAATATCAAGAAGGCGCCAAAGGTGGCCCAGATTGGAATAATCCGCTCTGGCTTTCACTATTCGTGCATTGATCTCATCACTCACACCCCCACCAGCACTTATGCAGCTACCCAGATACACGAACTTCTCAACTACGTCTATCTGCTCACCATCCAGAGTGAGTACAGGATTAGGATCCTGCCAGTCTTGTAGAAGTACTTTGCACTTCGAAGGTGCAAAGCACATACCATACCTACGGACACTGATTGCCAACTGATTAAGTGCGGATTGCATGCCTTGGGCATTATCGCACAGTAAGACAATATCGTCCGCATACTCAAGGTTGAGAAGTCTTTCTCCAGGCAACAGATCCACACCACCATTACTTACATTCATCAGAGCTGTTTCTAGAATGTCATCGATGGCAAAGTTGAAGAGGAATGGTGAGATTGGGCAACCCTGCCTAACCCCACTGCTCGAATGGAACAATGAAGAAAGGTGGTTGTATGCCCTCACTCTGCCTGAGGTGTTTGTATATAGGGCTTTTAGGATGTTAATAAACTTCTCAGGCACACCCTTCTTCAATAGACAATCTCAGAGAACAGTCCTGTCTAACGATTCAAAGGCAGCCCTGATGTCAAGAAACACTACGATTGTTGGCCTGTGATAAGTATGGCGGTGTTCTAACATTTGGTGTAAAGTGAAGATATGATCAATACATCCTCGACCCGAACGAAACCCAGCCTGCTCCTCGCGAGTCAATCTTCCTCGGGTTTTGAACAACCTACGAAGTATGACGGAAGCCAATAGCTTGGACGCAATCGGAAGTTGACTTATCCCCCGATAGTTGTTGCAGGAACGACGTGAACCCTTTTTAAAGATAGAGACAACTATCGAGTCATTCCGTGACATTGGTACACTCTCTAGCTCCCAGACCTTTGTAAACAACACAGTCAGTTCCTATGCCAGAATGTCACCACTATCTTTAAAAAGAGCCGGAGGTAAGTCATCTGGGCCAGGTGATTTGTGGCGCTTCAAGAGTTGGAGTTCCTTGCGGACTTCCGCCTCATTTGGTGGATCAGTCGTCACCGGCCATGGAGGGCAGGACAGTCTGACCGATATTGCCGGAGCAGCATGCCAGTTGAACTGCTCTTCGAAAAATTCTGCCCATCGTCCAAGACGTCGTTGGGTGTTAGTGATTGGCATCCCGTCCTCCTCACAGATTGTTTCACTCACACCAGACTTCTTGCTGCCAGTGGTTCGGATGAGTTGGAAGAGCTTCCGGTAGTTAACAGACACAGCTGCTGCTTCCAGCTCATTAGCACGCTTCGACCACCAGGCTTTTCGGTCCTTACGCAAGCTTTGCCCAATTTCCTTACGTAACATCCTTTGTTTATGGTCAAACTCACGGTCACCCGGAGTAGACCGACGGGCTTCAATGAGTTGTAAGGAGCATGAAGAAACCCAGTGCTTATAAGCGGGACGGTGCTTATAAGCGGGACATTTAAAAAACATACTAATAATTATATATCCAAATTAATAACCCGAAAAATGGCCAGGTTAATGGCAAAGTACATCCTAAATTCCCATGCTTTAAACGATTTACTTTGCCGTTAACCTGGCCATTTTTCCGGTTATTAATTTAGATATATAATTGTAGAACCTGATGAGAATTTATCGGAAAGAATATTCTTTGTTCAAATACTAGTCTTTTAATATGATCGGCATCTTTAAACGGTTTAAAATATACACTTGATATTGTTTTACTTGAATCTTCCCATTGATGTTTTTGGACTGAAATTGATCAGTCTCTTATTGGCACGGTACTGAGTTCGAGTCTCAGAGTGAACATCAACTCTGAGATGCAGGTACATCCAGCTGACGAGTCCCAAACAGGACGAAACGCGCGTCCTGGATTCCACTGCTAGCCACTATCCATCTTTGCTTATAATGATTTAAAATATAGTTTATGTGGGTACTATACAGTAGATGAAATAACTTTTTTAGGTAATAATACTCTTAACCGCTGAAATTATTATTAACAAAACAAAAAATCTAAGTTTACGCTATTATTTATGGATGACTTTTGAGTGAATCTATATTAACCTTCAAAATGTCCACATACTTACTGAGATTAAATAATGTTATAAACCGGTATGAAACAATAAAGTTTCTAATTTACATTTGATAATAAGGATTAAGATTTAGATTTATGGTTTTCATCACCAACTGATATCAACTAAAATATCAAACACACTATTGAAACCAATAATTGAATGAATTTCGCACCAAAATCCAAAATCTGATTTGTTCTTTTTATAATTCATCATAATTATATGATTCCTCTTACCTTTCATAAATGATTGATGATTCCAAAATTAAATGAACATTATTATCATGATCATGATCATGATTAGATCTAATTAAGGAATGATTAAAATATGTAATATCGATTAAATCCATGAATATTTGTATCATATTCTTTAATTCAATACGTTCTGTATAATTTAAATTACATATTTGTACATTGAATATAAATAATAATAATGTTGGTGATTGTTTAAAACATTTCATTGATATATGTTTATGATAATTAACTAATGCATAGTGTAATGATGTATTTGAATGAATAGAATGAATATTCAATGTTAAATGAGTATTTACATGGTAACTATTTAAATAAATTGTATAATCATAATTATAATCAATTGATTTATTAAATATTGGTTTATTAAGTTGTGTAACATTTTCATTAAAAGATAACTGATTGTTTATATTTATTGTATCACATTGAAAGCATAATCCATTGAATGTTATATTGATTTCTTTAGTTTTATTCATAGTTGAAATGAATTGAATACAATTGGGTAAATTCCAGAAATCCTGTCGACAACAAAGAAAAAAATAGAAAAATAAAAACCAAAAGAAAGATATAAAAAACTATATGAGAATATTATTAGTTGCGTAGTTACTAATATATACAAAAGATTCATTTTACAGAAGTTAAAAACAAGTCGGTTTTTTATAGTTGTTTGTAAAAAACATTTATTATGTACCTCAATTTTCAGTTGATTGATCACTGGGTATTGATGAAAGTCATGTATGTCAGATCATCCATAGTGCAGATAGTATTCTGTTGAACAAGTTGCAAGGTCACCAGCAGTTTAGGTGACTTGAAATTGTATACACTAAGTTGAGATCAGATGGTGGTTGGAGGTAGTCAACAGAAAACCCTGGACCTAGGTTTCGTGCCATTTGGCACTCGTCAGTGAGGTGTACCTGTAATCTTGAGGGCACTGATGCACCCTGATGGCTTCAATCACTTGTCACCCAGCTTAACAGTTAGAGATGTTAACAGTGAGCTATTCGTGCCGCTACTCACACCCTGTATGACTGAGACGTATTAACACTTGACTGATAACTGGGTGGTGATCAATGTCATGTATGTCAGGTCTTTCTTGGTGCAGATCGGAAAGCATCATTTCCCTCAAGATTACGGGTACACCTTACTGACGTGGGCTAAGTAACACGAAACCTAGGTCCAGAGTATACTGTTGAATACCCCCAACCACCATCTTATCTCAATTTTCCTTCATTGTAGTTTTAGACTTTTAATATAGTTTCCAGTAGACTAATTGATTATAGTTTTCTCATTTAGGCTGATTTTACTAAATTCACTGTAAAAAACATCTTATTAATGACCGAGAACTATAATCAGTTTTCAGTTCTAACCATTGGATTTCACAATATAATCAAACTATAAATACAAAAAAAAAACAGTTCATATGAAGAAACTTATAAATTCTTTCCACTATAAAACTACCTATTTTGATGTAAGAAATAATAAGTCTTTTATGATAATGTACGTTATCAATAGGTTAGTAAGTATAATGATATAAACATTTAATTTTCTACGTAAAATAATGAAACTATATCATTTTTTCTAGTTTTATCAACTAGTCGATAACTGAATTGTTTTGAATCTATGAAACAAAATTCAGTCTAAATTCTTGTAACTGGCACAAAGATCTAGATAAAAATTCATAATCCCTAATGTTCATACATTCCATATCACTGATTTTGTTTTACTTTAAATAAGAAAAACCTATTTTTGTACACAATGTAGTGATATGGTTTTATTATTTTACCTAAAGTATAGTCTATTCAACAGTTACAAAAACATGTAGTAAGGATTAAATATCTACCCTGACTACCATTTAATTACAAACCTCATCATTGAGGTTGTTTAATCTTTTCACTTATATAACAATATCATATTAATTTATTATTTTTGTAAATGTTATTTATTGTCTACGTTGAATGTTTAGTATAGTTGTGTTCGGAAACCAACGTATGTTATCGAAACTTAAGAATGATGAAACCTTAGTAATTTTTGTTTTACATTTTTTCACTATAACAATAGGAACTGATTTTGTTAGTTATATGTAATAATTAATTTCTTTTAAATAAACAGTTATTGTTTTGAACGATCGGACTGAATTTTACTATTTCATTGACATATACAATGAATTTCCTTAAATTAAATGTAAATACCTACAACGTTTATTGAATGAATAAATATAGACAGAATTGATTAATCACTGGATAGTGATCAATGTCAAGTGTACCAGCTCTTTCTTAGTGCAGATCGAATCCTGTCGACCAAGTTGCAGTGTCTCCAGCTGTCTAGGTGACTCGGCATTGCATGCACTATGTTGAGATAAGACGGTGATTGGAGGTAGTTGATAGTACATACATGACATTGATCACTGCCCAGTAATTAATCAATTGTAAATACATCACAGTCATACAGGAAGTCAGTAGCGGCACAAATAGCTCAGTGGTATCATCTCTGATTGTGAAGCTGGGTGGCACGGCATTGAATCCTTCAGGGAGCATCAGTTCGTTCAAGATTACAGGTACATTTTGCTGATGAGTGTCAATTAGCATGAAACGTAGGTCCAGGGTTTTCGGTTGACTACCTCCAACCACCATCCTAAATATGAACAGTTTTATTAATCTACGTTTTGCAAAGCTCAAAATACAAATCAGTTTTCATTGCTTTTTATCAATTCAATTTAAAGCAAATTTATTATAAATCAAATGCCTTTAGGGAACCAATAATTTTCATCTATTATTTGTTTGTCTTTGAATATGAAAAGTTTATTCAATATTATACATAAAATATGTATAAATTATCTCATTGATTTTCTTCTTCATACCTTCCTTACTTTATTCTTGAATTCCAGGTCATATTAGGTTAATAATTTGCAACGTTTAAAAAAATATACATAAAATACTTCAATAAACTGCTTTGTCATGATTCAAGCATTGACACCCACAATTTACATCTAATGAAAGGAAATCAGTTAGGAGTTCTATACTTGAACACCTAATCGACTATAACCATACTACAGATCCACAGATTGACTTTAAGGTTGTTTATATGATTCGTTCAAATCTACGCGGATTTCTTCGTATCCAACTCTTAAAAATAGCCGAAGCTCTTACCATCCAGGAGCTTAAACCAGAACTATGCGTACAAAAGAAGTACGTCTTATCGTTATTGTTACCTTGGCCTTAATTATTTTGTTTATCCTGTTATTATTATTATTACTGCATTCCCCCTTCCCTTTACTTATGTCTTATATTCACATTATTTTATTCGTAAATTCTCATCATATCACCTTATTTATTTCTTACACCTCTATGACCTTTAATTATTATATCAAAAACATTTTAATCATCTTATTATATTCACTAAGTCTATTGTTATTATTCGTATTGCGTAATCTAGTATTATAACCTTTTTTATTAATTGTGTTCACATTTCCTCACGGAATTAGTACTTTTACAAAAGCAAAATTTTCATATATATACGATTGTACAGCTTGATAATAAATTCGTTGAAAAGAGATCCCTTCACTGAACTTCGTATTTTAATCTAGTTTCAATTTATTTATATTTGTTTAAGCTCCTGGATTCATGTTATAGAATATGCTGTTCAATTGCATTTTTACGTTCAAATTAAACAAATCTTGAATTATTCATCGCAGAAAAATCTTTTGTTAAATTCACTTGATGTTGGTTACTTGTATCTTCCCACTGTTATTTAGGACTGTAATTGATCAGTCTCATATTGGCATAAATGCATTATGTACATCCAGCTGACGAGTCTCAAATGGGACGAAACGCACGTCCTGGATTCCGCTACTAGCCATTATCTATTTATGCTTATAAAATCTTCTATTGTTAGTTTTTTTAAATTTGTCATTTCAATAGATTTATCTTTATAAGTTCATTTTCTTTTTGAAAATGTAAGTTTTCATAAGTTCAGAATTTGCAAGACTTCGTTAAAGTAAGTATTTACAAATAATACAATGTGAGAAAAACAAGTCTAGGCCACTAAAATACAGAGTATTATCTTTTTAACTCGTTTGAAGTAAATCATATCCCTCATATGAGATACTATGATGTGTGTCACTAATGTTGACTGATATACGTAGTATATATCATCAATCGAAAGTGAAATACCTAGTGGTAGAAGGTTAGGAAAATCGAAGAAAATAGAATGAACGAAAAAATAATCAAGTCTGAGACGACTGACTGATATTTTGTAAATGAATTATTTATTGTATGGTTTTCAGATTTTACTAAGACATTCTGTAATGTTACATTAAAGTACATTTCGTTGTCCCCTACTTATGTTCTCGTTCACTACAATACTATCTATTCCGAACTAATAGTTTCGTTAATCTTATAAATATTATCATTGATTCTATTTATAATATTATCTGTTCAAGTATCTAGCAGAAATAAGAATGCGTACTTAATCCATAAATTCTAAGTAAAATGTTGGACTCCATTTAAAAGAATATATTGAAATTCAATATTGGTTTTGAATAGTGTTGGATAGAATGAATAACTTTCAGATAACAAAGTTAACCAGTAATGGATTTTCCCAGACACCTAACTTAGTTTAACTTAAATTTCAAAAGCTAATGAATAAAAGTTTTCTATTTTTTAAAAAACATTTCAAACACTAAATCCATTTTGTTATTTGTCAAGAAAATGATGTTACAAAAAACCTTCACTGATTAATTTAGAATAATGTACTTGAAGTAATTACTGAAACAATTATGATGATCTTTGATGAAATCAAGAGAATTAGAAAAGTTGGAAAATGAATACAATTTTTGGATTTCAAACGGATCTGTTGTGAGATAATGTACGGTGGTTCAATTTCGTTGATTGGTTGAAATTACACAATAACACAGTTGGATACCGGCCAGATCAATAGTCTAGGGGTTAGGCGTTCACGCGTGAGACAGATAGGTCTTGGGTTTAAATCTTACGAGGCAAGATCGTGGATGCGCACTTCTGAGGAGTCCCATACTACGACGAAATGGCCGTTTAGTACTTCCAGGTTTTCCAAGATGATTTAGCTTGAACTGACTCATGATTTCAACTATTAAATTACTATAATATCCACAAAACCCGTCTCTGATTATAATACTAGATACCTGTTTTCTATATCTGTTTACTTTGTTTTGCTTTTAGAAAACAGTACAATGATAACAAGTATACCATTCAAAAAATCAGTAGTTCATATCATTTTAAGTAGTCATATTTCATTATGTTTCATTTAGTGTATATACTAATTATACTGAAGTATGCAACATACATATATTTTGGAAATGTTTATCATTCAAAATACTTCTCATATAAATTGTGTATGTGTATAGATACTGTTCAGTCATGTATAAACTATGCACTTAAATTATGTACATGATATTGCTTATTATGTAATCTTTTTATATTTTTTAAACGATTCTAATCATAACAGACTTTTCAAATTTTGACTCGTATTTTGTAAAAACATT